TCTACATTTTTACCATGCATTAGTGAATTGAACAATACAATGTTATGTAAGGAGTTAAATTCTAAACAGCAAGCTTCTATAAAACTGATAATCATCATTATTGTTATTATTTAGTATCTTGTTTAAGGTAGTGATTAATTTTCATTTATGATTAGCATTAACAAGTGTGATGAAATCCAAGTTGCTTTCCACGTGCAGCGTGTGTACAGTTTTAAAGTTTCCTGTGTGGTTTTCACACTATTTTTTTTTCATTTGTCAGAACTTAGTATCTAAGTTATGGGAGTTCAAAGAGTACAGAGTTACTTTAGTTACAAACAGCAGGACAGCAGTATTTTTTTCTGGTGGAATTTTTTAATTCCATTTTTAAGTCAGGATGTGAAAGTGATCAGTCAGGCTTTCTTTAAGAATGATTGCAAAGGCAGAGAATTACCTTCATCTTACATGATTAGCAGGATCTTTTCTCCCTGTATTATGCTTTTATAATGATCAAAATCATAAGAGGGGTCAGGAAAGCATCCTTCAAGGCAAACACATGAGTAATTGTTAGGTGGTAAACAGGAGGAGGAGAATGCACATTATGGGAAGAAATAACTTATGAATCAGTTTGGATTCAGTTTTGTGTATCAATAACTACATACACCTTGTGCTACTTTGAAATAGCAATATGCATTATAATAGATGATATGAGACTGAAATACATTCCGAGTATGAGTTGCAATTTCTTCCCTTACTCATAAAATCTGTTGTACCAGTGCTTTAAATCTTTAAAGCTTCAGTGCATATTTTGGGTAGGTGCATTTTTGGTAGGTGGTTCACATGTTCTGTTCTACGTTCAAAAGCAGCATCAGGGTGGTCGTTAACACTAAATGCACAGAGAAACATTCCAAAACCTTGTTTTTAAGGTGTTCTTCCATGCTTTGGAACTCCCAGCACTGCCCTATGCTTTGAGCTTCTCTGTTAACCATGGGTAATACCATTTCAATGTGGAATGTCATTACCAAAATGATACAACAGTGTAGTTGTCATGACCTGGTACATTTTTGGAATAGAGGCAGATGTCTAAGCAAGAGTAATCGAAGTAGGCAGTGTTAAGTCCCTTAATTGAACTGTCTTGTTCATTGCCTAGTCTGATGAGAAGGGAGAGCAGGATCTGTGGGAAGGGAATTTGTCCAGTAGTGACAGACAAGGTGTTCCAGGTCTCCTCTTCGTTCCCTACTCCCTTGGATTTGGCTGTTGACATAGGTGTAGGTGTTTGGTTTGGAATCTTTCTTCCAGAGGGTTCACCAGAAAACAGGATGCAGTGCAGCATCTGTCTGTATCCCAGTGAGATAAAGCTGCCAAGGCTGGTTGCTCTGCCAGTCACAGTTGCATGCGTGGGTTCCCAACTTCAGCACAGAGTGTTCACTCTTTCCTAGAACTTGCTAACAGCTGTCCTCTAGATAGCATTGAGTAATTATTAGGCTGAGGATGATAAGTATATTTATCTTCCGTTTTGAAAAAAATACATATAAGATTGAAATATGTTTTGTGTACTCAACATGACAAGGAACAACTGTTGGATGTTTGCTTTACTGTATGTATTTCTCACTCAATTGCTTTTTGCAGTATTTTGCCCCAAGATCTTTTAGACTTTTTTTTTTCATTCCAGCTTTGCTTAATCTCACAGTCTGGGCTAGAATGCTACCTTGAAACAGACTTTGACAGTGCTACCTCTTTTAAAGAGGAAGTAATTATTATTAGTAAGAACTGATGCACAGCAAACAATATTTTAGCAAATATGAAATGTTTTATCTTTAGTGGACTTGAAACAATCAACAAAATTGTTGTTAATCTTACATATACAGGCATGGATGCACAGACACGCTCAGAAACAGATACAGGCTTTTCCCCTTTCCATAAATCCTAATTTCCTGTGGAAGCAATGATGCCATTGCTATGTTGGTGCCTCTTTGTTGGCTCACTAGTCACCCATGGGTCCACTGTGACCCAAATTTGAAGCGAGATGGTGGAATAAATAAGGTATCATTGAATAGTTGAATCAAGCCAGTTGCTTCTGGTATGAAGAGAGATTTTAATTCCTCCTTTCCAGCCCAAACCTTGTGCATACTCCTGAGCTGGGCCCTTTACTTCTGAATTACAAGGAAAGTGACCCAGGAAAAAAAGAAGTGAGTTGATTTCTGACAGTTTATCAAGATGGAAGGTTAAGGTGGGCACCCATGCTTGACCAAGGGAGCAGGTGGGGCTGCAAGGCAGGAAATCAAAGGGACAATTGAATCCCATCTCTTAACAGAAGCTGTTATATGTTTGATGTGCTTCATTTTCTCAATACCAGAGTTCTTACAAATCTCACAAAGAAGACAGGAAACTAGATAAGGAAAGAGATTATTACTAGGGCTCCCAAAAATGAAAAAAAAAAAGAAGTTCATGCTTTTTTTTGACACCAAAGATCTCAGGAATGGAGCACAGTCTTCTTAGGCTTCATTGTTTCTGACACTGATTTTCACTATTCACTTTTAATTGTATTCTGGCAGTTTTCGGATAAAAAACCTCAAAAGTTAACACTGTATTTCAAATTTGTGAAACAATGTTTTAATTCAGTGTTATTTGACCGGAATTCAGGGTAACTTTGGCCTGCCTAATGTTGTTTCCCTCAGAAAGTTAACTGTTGCTTTGCCTTAATTTTCACTTTTTTCCAGTGTTAAAGAGTGGTTTTTCAGGTACTCATTTATCTTCTCCTTTTAGTTTGATTTTTTTCTCTGATAGGAATTCTTCTAAAGCATTCTTCCCATTTTAATAATAGTAATAGCAGGAATTAGAAAGAAAATAAAATTCCTAAATATTTCTTCCTAAATATTTGTTTCATCCACTGCCACCTTTTAATCTTCTCTTCTGCCTTTCTGGTTAACATTTTTTACTGTTTTGCTCCAATGAAGCAGTCTAGGATTATATGAAAAATCATTTTGATCTCCATTTTAGAATGTTCTGTAGTGGTATTGATAGATTTGCTTACTGTCACCTCAGGCTCTCACAGAAAGATTGTGTGTCACACTCCCTGAGCACTGACATGTGTTGGTCTTGTACCACAGCCCTCAGAGCCACGCCTAGTGCAGCATGGAAAAGTGCAAGGAAGATCCAGGCATATCAATGTATGTGGGATATCAGGGCAAAATATGAACTGTTAGTACAATGGGATTTTCTTAAGGTCCAGGAGGGCTTTCTGATGGTGCTGTGAGAAGTAGACTGCTGTAGGATTTTTCATGAAGAGCTGTAGTGGCTTGGTCTAAATCTCTAAATACTGTTGAGTTAATAAGACCGGGTATTAACCCATGTCAGGGTTTATCAGGTAGTTTAGAAGTTGGTGCAGGCCACTTAGCTTCACCCTGTTATGTTTAGAGAGTTTGCAGAAGTTTAAGTGACAGGATTATGGTACTGTTAGGCTTGCATAATTGATATATGGATCAATTCACAAATCAATACAAGTCCTGAAACAGGGAATTATGGTGGGTAAAAGGATAAGGTATCTGAGGGGTTTGTAGTAGCTCTACATCTGAGAGAGACTTATTTTTGTACGTGATGATGAAGACAATCTCATTTTATCCCCTTGAGGATGCCCTTTACAAGGCTGTGTATAGGGGCCATGTGGAAGATCAGTGCATCAAAGAGTATCTTGGCTTCAAGGGTGGCCCAGTATAAGCTGATTTTATAAATCTGTGCATCTTTTGTTTGGGTGCCACCTATTGTAAATTGTACAAAATCTAATCCAGAATGGAACCTCATAGTTACCATTACAGCCATCAATGGCCTACAAATTGAAATTCATATCTACACAGCATTCAAGTGTTTACAGAGTTTTTAAAAAGTGTTTTGACAAGTTAAAAAAAAAATTAGCATTATTCAGGAGAGAGATACAGACTATTTTTCCCTCCACAACAGATTCTCTGTCTTTCTCTCCCCATCTTTCTTATCAATTTCATTTTAATTCCCACTCCTGGGCTATGTGTACACTTTTGATTGACTGGTTTTATTGACTTCCACTTGTAAAGCAATAATATTCTGAGGCCAGATAAGCATAATGCTGCATGTAGAGGAGCATGAGCAGAGCGTGACCGTTTGCCAGTCACCCGCTCTCCAGTTGAGAGTGTCAGTTTGCAGCTGCGTGCCCTGAAAGGGTCACTGATATCTGACCAAGTTGTTTGCTTTGTAGATCTCCAAAGATTTAGAATATCTTTTAGCAACACGTACGGAGATTGATATTTTCCCCCAAGTAACTTGCAAAATTAGTTTTCAAGTAAACAGAAATACAGATGAGTTTTTCACGTGAGAAGTAACACTAAAATCATGCTAGCATAATACATATATTTGCTTTTCCCTACAAAAACCACATTATTTAGAGGCTGACAGAGAAAAAGGACTTAGTGTAGATCTCTGTGCATTGTTCTGCTGGAATTGATGCAATTTATACCAAAAGATGAAAGATTTTTAAATAAAAACTTACTCCAGGATGTATGTTACCATTAATGATGAGTTTTCTTTCTGTGATAGCTTTGTGTCAACCACAAGGACAATATGAACACATTTGACTGTAATAATAGTGATTTTGTACAGGGGGAAGACTTTAATACAATTAACTTCCATTTATATACTGCCAAGATACTACAGAGAAGGTTTGAATGAGTTTTAGATTTGTCTGTACCAGAAAAAGACATAGAGTTTAAAATAGTTCCCTACCTGCTGTGCGTTATCAACAATATAGTTTGCCTATTGAAGGGTCTGTAGATGGCCATGAAGGTTACTGAAAATAACTAGTTATTACAAACATACAGACTGGAAAGACTGGGAGTCATTTGTGGGCTGTTAACTCAATACTTCTAGATGAAAAGTAATTACAAGAGGAGATGTAGATATTCTCTGATTCCAGAAGATGCTGATATTTATTTTTGTGTTTTTGTTTTGTTCTTTAGTGAGATAGAAGATGAATTCAGCTGAAATCACTGATGATGATGACGGTAAAATATTATACTTTATATAATTTTTGATCAGGCAGAAATACTTGTTGATTTAAAGTATTTGCCACCTAATAGAGAATGCAGTTGGATCAAGACAAATTACACTAATGTTTTTTTTTAAGTTATCTAAAATAGGGCATTATCTTTGTTAGTCATTATTATTTCTGCTCTACATCCTTCCTCCCCTCCAAAAAATCCTCCTGTAATACTTTAGATTATTCTTTGGACAAGAAGATGTCATTTATTGGAAAATGGAATGATTTGACTTTGAGGTGGCCCCAATATACACTTACCATAGAAGTAATAAATATAATGAAGTTCTTCAAAACACATATTCATAAAAAGAAACAAATCACAGAACATTATACTAAGGATGTCATGGTTTTCTGGAGAGGGTGCTTTATCTTTCTAAACATTCTCTTTTTTCAGTAAAAATTCCTAAAAAAAATGTGAAAGTAGAAACAGAAAATGAAGATGAAGCTCTAGACTGCTCAGTAACTTCCAGATCTGCTGAGAAACATTCACTGGATGGTGCAGTGACTTGCCTACAGGATTCCAGCAAACGGAAACAGAGCTCCCTTGGCTGTGATGGGTCAGGAGGCCAGCAGGATGCCTTACCCAGCGTGAAGAAGAGACGCTTTACACAAGAGGTGACTGCTACACACATGACTGTGATTTTTTTGGTTCATATTTCCTAGGCTAAATTCTCTGCTGCTTTAAGTAGAATGCAAGTCTTTTAACTAAATTTGCATTGGTAATGAGTTTGTTGCAAATGTGGCTAATCTTAAGCCAGTTTGCACACAGCTGGGTATTCTCTAAATAACATGGAAGTGATCATATTTATGAAATACACTTAGTAGTTATGGAATAATTCATTTATGTGAATTATATTTTTGTTGTTCAGCAGATAACATAGGAAGGGGCAGTGACTTGGAGTAACTGGGCATGACTGATTACAGTCCCTCTCCTGTCACACAGTCCCTCAGCTTGATCCTGAGTGGTAGAATCAGGGCTGTAATTCTTTCTTCTGTGACAAAGATTTAATGTCAGTAAGACCAGTATAAATTACTGTAGTATTGGAAGGATAAAAATGCGGGGATGCAGAAGATTTCAGTCACATCAAGATGGAATGTATTACAGCATCTGGTGTGGCATCCCAGCTTGGGACAATCCAGATGTTTCTCTAGCCAGTGAAGGAGATGCCCAGTCTTTTCCATTATCCTGGTCTTGTGCTTCACCTCTCTAAGCAATGGTGGATTTTAATTAATCTCTTCTGAAATTGAGCTAGTTTCTTTTTGTCCTTGTTCTTTTCAGTAGGGAGAGCAATGATCATCTGTTCTGAGAAAAATCTTCTGCATCTGGGAAAATTCATGTGATGTTGTCCACTCTCAGTCCTTCCCTTCCAAGATTAAAATTCTCTTTTTTTCAGCTCTTCTTCAGGAGTCACCTTATATTTTTGTTGTTCCATTTGAGAGTCCAGAAAGACTAGTGTCCAGTGTTGGATAGTAACATCCACCTGCCACCCTCTAGAGCAGTATAATGACCTCCTGTTTTTCACACTCAGCACTTTATTAAAATAACCTCGATTCAAATTCATCCTCTTTTGAATAACTTCAGGCCTGGGTTATATTTAGTTTGTGACCTATCCTAATGCACGTATCCTTTTCTGCTCTTCTGCTACCTAGCCACTTATTCCATGTTTTATTTGCACATTTCATGTCTTCTTTATAGCCATAGTTCTCTGTGATTCTTTTTCTTGACTATCATCTCTCTGACTTCTTACGGCTGCTTTTTTTCCCCTGAATGCCTGTGGTAGGTAGGTTTTAATCTTATTACACGGTTTCTTTCTTTTCCTTTCTCTTTTTCTTTTTACAATTGTTTTCCTTACATTCAGATTCTTAAAAGAGCTTTATAATGGTCTCTGAATGTGCTTGCTTTGCATTTTCCTGTTTGCCATTAATAAATTTTAAAGTTTAATTTGAATTTAATTATAACTTTGGATTTATAATATCAGAAGTTGACCCGGTAATAATGATGAAAATTCATTCTTGTCTGACCCCATTGAATCAGCATGTTTAGTTAAATAACCAACCAGAAATAGTCCTCAATCTTAACAGAATTTTTTAAGTTAATTACTTCTCTAGTACCAATATTCTGTTTTAATTGATGACTTTATTAACTATTTCTATTTAAACAGTGGAAAAATCTTAATTATTCTAAAGAATGTTGTGTTTGTATATTTTTACTGCATGTCATATAGACATCTATCTATGATATAAACAGAGCTGTACTTCTTTTGGGCTGGTAATTGTATTGCTAAATTACTTTTTATCTGAAGAATTAGCTTTTTTTTTTTTTAATTTTGAGTGCCACTTCATAATCAGGAATTAATTTTCCCTGATTTTCTTTAAAAAAACAATGTGTAGAAGATTGTAAGTTTAAAAAAGTTATGTGCAGGACTTTTCCATATTCTTATGTGTCTGAAAGAATCAATGTTTCTTGCCTATGTATTTATTTATTCTTTACTCCTGTGCTTGAATATTATGCACTGTATTCTTAGAGATATTTAGACTTTGTTTATTAAGTATAACAAAGGTCATAAATGGACTTGAGCATTGAGCAGAACAAAAACTAAACAACTTTTAAAACTTGGCTTAGGATTCCAAGAGAGTGTGTGAAGAGACTATTTTACAATTTCTTGTATTGGTCGATGTTTTGCAAAATACTGCACTTTGCAAATGTTCATAAAATGTTTAAAACATAAACACTTGCTGTGCAACTGTAGTATAAAAAGCAGCACTGTCTTACATACATTGAGTCTCATAGAACAATATCTTTGCTTCTTTTTTGATAGTACTTTAGAACTGATGATCTTAAATGGGTGCAGTATTATCTGAAATTCATGGATGTTTAAAGATCAGTGTTACAGAAAACTAATTAGTTAAATTGGACAATTTACAAAAGCCATGTATTTATGGTGTTGATAGTGCTGTTCCCAGATGGAAACCATAGACAAGATAATTAAAAGCAAAAGAAAAGAAAATGAGAATGCATCTGAACTAAAATATCCTTAAATATTTTTAAGGCCCAAATGTTTTGTCATCTGCTAGGAGAACACTGGCTATATGTTTCTGAAATGCAAATATTCTGAAATGCAAATCCATCCCGCAGCCAGATCCAGGCACTGGGAGCTGCATTAGTGAAGGAAGAAGTTCAGCTGCTATCATAGTGAAGATCTGCTGTAGTTCTTAGCATGAGCTCCAGAGCACCGTGTCCAAAACTGAGACTGCCAACTTTAATGATCTTACTGTCAAAATAATGAATTAATGTTCTTTAATACACATTCTAATATTGATTTGGCCTGACTGTGTGTGAGGTGCACATCAATAGAAGTTACCCTTATATTGCCAAGTTTTATTATTAATTAATTAGGGAAAATAAACAGCAGGAGGTGAAATGAGAACTGACAGATACCTGGTGGCCTGTGGCAAGCTATTTAGCAGCAAGGTATTTTAGTAGTAGAGAAGGAATTGAAAGAGGCATATGCTGTTTTTGAAGGAATATTTGGTATATTCTCAGTTAACAGGAGTTTTAATGAAAGAGCAACTCAGGTGGTAGGTCTCACTGGTTGTGTAAGAAAAGTTTTGTTTTTTTCTTTAGATATAAAATAGTAAAAAGCTTTGTAATTCAGTTTGTGTGCCTAACTGGGGAGCAGTATTGTGCACATTATTGTCAGTGGAGATTTTCATGGCCTGCTTTTAGGTGATGTCTATGCAGAGCTCTGTTACTACCTGGAACTTCCTCTGTATCTTCACTGACAAGTACAGGTGGCATATGACAACTTCAGTCCCAGCTTAGGAGCCTGCAGTTTGGTGGGGGCAATGTGGATTTCAGTTTGCTCACAGTCCAGTCGCTGTTCTGGCTTTATTATGAGTGGGACTGGAGTGGGACAGTCTTCTAACTGGGACCTGGAAACCAAGTGTCCTAGGCACCATGACAGCCAGGGATTCTGCACACTGAAATGCATCTCCTTGGCATTAGATTTTCGTTTGATCATCTCTCAGCTTTGGATGTGCAAACACAAGGTTTTGTATGTAGGGTAATGTGATGTGAGAGCAGAACTTGGAAACAGCTTCAGTTTAATTGTATGCTGGTTTCTAAACTTGGAGTGGAAGCCAGCTTGTTCTTTCTGAGTCTCCTTTGAGTATACATTGCATTAGAAATTAAAAAATAATTAGATTCAATTTGTCACTGCAGTAAGCAGATGCCAAGTATGAGTACACATAGGGACCACATTGATTTCATGACTTACAGTTCTGTTTCTTAAGAAAGAAACCTTAATTCAAATTCCTCACTGTAGGACATAATGGGGCCTTAACTAAAATTTCAAATTTCTTGTGGCTCTCAGCTCCGACCTGAAGTCTGTGTTTCATTTGTTTTAATACTTGAATGCAAATTCTGTAGTGTTTTATCTAATTCATGTTCTATAGAACAATTCAAGAAAATTGTTTCAGTATAGAAACGTCTACAAATCCGTGTTTTCTCATGCTTGAATTCTTTATGTTGGATTTTGGTTCTGTTTTATCTGTATCTGTATTCTTAACTTGTAAGAATTATTTGTAATATCTATGTTTTTGTGGAAAAAACCCCAAATCAAGCCCTGCATATCTACTGTGAGATGATGAAAATGTTTGGTTCCAATTTCAAGCAATGAGGAATAAGTACAAATAATTGAGAACATTGAGTCCTCAAGAATTCATTACTAGTTTTATATAATATATAAATTATATGAATTTCTATAGTTTAAATAATTTAGAAAGTTAGAAATCCATGAGTCTAAACTTCCTTGTCTTTCAGAAATAAAGAAATCTTTTGTTAGGCTTCCTTTAAAAAAAAAATATTGTACCAAGGTACTTTCCACTTTTTTATTATTTAAATAGAATACCTTTTAAAAATTAATACATTTCTAGGATTTGTTTAGTACTTCTGCACCATTATAAAGAATTTTTTAAAACCTGTATATAAACTTTTCACATCAGAAAAAAAGAGAATAAGCATATTTTTTGTGGTTTTTAGCCTTCGTGACATTTTCAAAAGCTAACCTAAAGAGAGTGCTGGAATGTTAAATGCAGTTGTTGGAGGCAATGGCAAGGTCACAGGACTAGGAGTCAGAAAATCTAGATGCTATTCTTGGCTCTGTTGCTGACTTGTTGCCACCCAAATTCTTGACAGCCCAAGATCCTCATATCCAAGGTGAAGCCTAATGATACTTAATTTGGGGGAGTAATTAGAGCTCTGTGGGTAGAGAGTACCAAGAATTATTATTGCATTTCTATTCCATGGGGAAAGCTATGAGCCAAAAAAAAGAAAACAAAAAGGAAACCTAAATAATTCTTTACTGTATTTTTATTTTTCCCAGTGAAATTATTAATTTTTATTGTTTAACACAAGTCCCCTGCAGAAAATTTGACTTTGCATATTTATGTAACAATGCCTGCTTAAGGAGCACATATTTATAGCTAATATTTTTAAGGGAGTGTTACTAATACAATATTTGTTCATTTGAAGGGTTCCCTTTCAAACATGAGGAACAGAGATGCTGGCTCACCCACTCAGGTAAATGCAGAGCAGCCAAGCAAGAACAAGAATTCTAATGTAACATGGCTCTGTGAAGAAGAATCCTTCAGTGACATAATCACTCCATCTTATAAAAAACCTCTCTATGGCATCTCACACAAAATCACAGAGAAGAAGAACCCACCAGGAGCAGAGCAGTTTGCTTCTTACGAGTTGTTTGAAAAAATCAACCCCAGCAGTCCCTCACAAATTCGGACTTTGAACGATCAACGCAAAAGAGACTCAGCCATTGCAGTAGCAGCAGCCACAGCAGATTCAGAATCAAATATATATTCTTTGATACAGAAAATGTTTTACACCTTGAACACACTCAACACCAATATGACTCAGCTTCACAGTAAAGTTGACCTGTTGTCTCTGGAGGTTAGCAGAATTAAAAAGCAAGTCAGTCCAGCAGAGTCTGTTGCTGAATTCAAGCCTCCCCCGGAGTACCAGCTGACTTCTACGGAACTCAAACAAATCATGGATCAAAGCACATCGGGTGGGGACCTGGCTTGCCGGTTGCTCGTGCAGCTCTTCCCAGAGCTCTTCAGTGACGATGAGTTTGGCAGGAGCTGCAGTGCATGTGGCTTTCTCAACAAAAGGAAACTTGAATCTCTTCATCTGCAGCTTATTCGTAACTATGTGGAAGTTTGTTATCCTTCTGTGAAGAATACAGCTGTGTGGCAGTTGGAGTGTTTGCCTCAAGTCAATGATTTTTTCAATAGATTTTGGGCTCAAAGGGAAATGGAAAACAGTCAGCAGAATGTGCAATCATCCAGTTTTTATGAGACTGAGCAGGTCGAATCCTCTCATTTTATGGAGGATAAAGAGCAGGAAGAAGCTTTGTCCTTGGACAGGAGTAATGTCATTGCCTCAGATTACATGCTGGATGCTCAGGATCTCAATGAATTTTTAGATGAAGCTTCTTCACCAGGAGAGTTTTCTGTTTTTTTGTTACATAGACTGTTTCCAGAACTCTTTGACCACAGAAAATTAGCTGAAAGGTACAGCTGCTTTGGAGACTCTGGAAAACAACTGCTGGATCCTCATCGGCTTCAAATAATCCGTAGGTACACTGAAATTTACTTTCCAGACGTGCAAGAAGAAGAAGCCTGGTTGCAGCAGTGTGTTCAGCGAATAAATGATGAGCTTGAAAGTACGTATATGGATGGAAGTGAATGTGACCAGATGAGAGATGACTGTTACGATTCTTCTAGTTTACCAGATGATGTATCAATCATAAAAGTGGAAGACAGTTTTGAATATGAAAAGCCTGGCAGACGGTCCAAAAAAATTTGGCTTGTACCCATAGATTTTGACAAACTTGACTTTCCCCCTCCTGATTTTGATGTCCCTGTCCCGGATTACCTGTTGAACAAAGAACAGATTAAAAGCATATATGAAAGCAGTCTTTCCATAGGCAACTTTGCTTCCCGATTGCTTGTTCTCCTATTTCCTGAACTATTTACTCATGAAAACTTACGGAAGCAATACAACTGTAGCGGATCTTTAGGCAAGAAACAGCTTGACCCCACTAGAATTAAATTAATTCGACATTATGTGCAGATACTGTACCCCAGAGCAAAGAATGACAGAGTGTGGACATTAGAGTTTGTTGGGAAGCTTGACGAGAGGTGTCGACGAAGAGACACGGAGCAAAGGCGCTCGTACCAACAGCAACGGAAAATCCACGTGCCAGGGCCCGACAGGAGGGAATTTCTCACCTATGCAATAAACCCTGAGAGATTTCGGGAAGAATTTGAAGGGCCGCCACTGCCACCGGAAAGAAGCAGCAAGGATTTTTGCAAGATACCACTTGATGAACTTGTTGTTCCTAATCCAGACTTCCCTGTGCCTTCTCTGTATTTGCTGTCTGACAAGGAGATAAGAGAGATAGTGCAGCAGAGCCTGTCAGTCGGCAACTTTGCTGCCAGGCTTCTTGTAAGACTCTTCCCTGAACTCTTTACTCCGGAGAATCTGAGACTGCAGTACAACCATTCAGGTGCTTGTAATAAAAAACAGCTTGATCCCATCAGACTGAGACTGATCCGTCATTACGTGGAGGCAGTTTATCCTGTGGAGAAAATGGAAGAGGTGTGGCATTATGAATGTATACCGAGCATCGATGAAAGGTGCCGGCGTCCTAACAGAAAAAAGTGTGATATACTGAAAAAAGCTAAGAAAGCAAAAAAAGTGACAGGCTCTTTAAACTGCTAAGACTTTGACCACTAAATTATTGTCAAGAGTATGCTTTGGTTTAGACCGAAGGGCCTGTTGGGAGCTGAGGGTTCTCAGCACCTGGGACAGTCAGGCCCTAAATTTGTTGCGTTTCAGTGTGTGTGTTGCATTTCTGTTGGCACCGCAGCAGTGGGAAGTGGCTGACTACATTTGTACATGGGTAAAAAGACCATCAGTGACAGTTATCAATGACTCGCTAAGAGCATGATATTCACTGGTGCAAATACATGTATTGAAACTATTGCTCCACTCCCCATTTCTGCGTCTTCTTTTTCTATCACTTTCTAATAATAAAGAAGTTTTTTTTATGGTTGTGCTCTTCAAGAGCAGTTTTTCATTATATCATTATAAACAGTATTTTTAATTAATTCAGATTTTGAAATGTGTAGACTAATTTAAATTTGAATGTGCCATTTTCATTGGAAATCATTGGAATATTAGACTTTGCTTTTACAGTAACTTCAGCTTCACACTTGTTTTGTTCTTCATGATATTGAGGTACTGGAAGTTATAATACTGTGTCAAAGAGTGGGTCAGAGTGGTGTCATTTGCATTTTTGACTGTTACATTGGTTTTATTTCTAAAATCAAGAATTTCTGTTGAAGAATTGAGACATGAGCATAGACACTGTGGGAATGGTTTTTGTTTTTTTTTTGCATTGACACCACAAGCCTGATCCTGCCCCCATGAGTTCTGTTATTGTTTTGTCCAGTGTAACTGCTGGAGTGACTGAGGATTGCTTGTCTTGGGCAAAGCCACCAAAACAGACCCAAGCCTATACCCATGGAATATCTTCCCATCATCTGCTTGCCACCCTGTTTGTAAAATAGCAGAAGCAACAGCAACATCAAAAAGACCTGAAACAAGGACTTAAAAAAAATTTAGACCCTACTTTCTATCAAAATCATGATTCCAAAGGTTTCCAGTGTTGATATTGAATTGCATATATAAAAAGTATGTGCAAAGATTGGTTTTGTGGTGAAATCCAGTGTTTCAGGGTCCCAGCATATGAGCTGTGGTAATGTAACTTACTCTTTCCATGAGTGCAGCAGCATCTGAATATTTGGGTGTAGGGATATGGAACTCCCTCACTTTGCCAAATTGTTTTAGTGTAATTAGTAGCTATTTGGAGACATAACTGTGTATGTATAGCTTAGGTTCATATGGTCAAGTTTGCATCTTTAATATCCTCAAATGTAACAAAGACCATCCAGAACCCAACATGAATTTGCTGTATGACTTGTCACTGGAGAGTGCTGCTTTAAAACTAGTTTTCTCTTTTAAAAAAAAAATAATACTGATAGAAATGGTGAGGGAGAGTCAATTATGGATTCTTAATACAGTAAAGACAGTGGTTGCCTACAGAGCATCACTGGAACACCTTGGAGCAATTGATGTTCTCTGTGGTCCTTTTCTGTTGTTTACTTAGATGGGTCATAGCAAATTTTAAGTCAGTTCCAATGTAATTTTCTATTTTAGCATTTGTAAGGAAGTACAAAATATTTGATATTTTTACTTCAGATTTTTAGAATATCTTGTTCGTAGACTCATATTGATCCCTTTAAAAGGAAAACAGAATGGTTTTTCCTGATGGCAAGAACTAGTACATGTATTGTGTTAAACTGGGAGTAAATCATAGTTAGTAGCATTTGCTCATTTTGCCCATATGCTAGAAACATTCTCAGAGAATGTATGAAAAAAAGTCATGAATGTACTAAACAACACAATGGTACTGTTTATATCCATTTAAATGTTTCCTGTTGGTTTAAGTAATAGCAGACCATACTCAAAATGGATATCAGAGCAAATACGGCTATAATAAATCGAAATCATTTTACCAAAGATAAAGAACTGATACCACAATGTCTGCATGTGTTCATTTTAGTGCATAAATTTGTCAAATTGAATGTATCAAAAACCAAGACTCTCTTGTCATTGTATGTTACCTAGAAACTCTGTGAAATTTTTTTATGTGCACTTTTATAGGATATATAAAGTAACAGAAGATCTTAACAGCTGTTTAATTTGTAGTTGCAAATGGCTGGCCAAAAGGTAAGAAATACAATTTTATTTTCTTATCCTAATGTCATATGTTTCACCACTTAGTGATGTCAAAGCTCCCAGAAGAATTCAATATATATTGAACTTTTTTACAAGGGATAGATGTTAGTAGCTAGCATGCAAGTTTGAGACATACTGGCTTTTACTGTAGATGCTAATATTAAGTAAAAAAAATCAGTCAATTGATATTATCTAAAAAGTAGTGAAAAAACCAATTTGACAACTTTGATCATAAAAGTGATAATTTTTGAAACTGGGTATAAAAATATCTTTGTTGTGGGTTTTTTTCTCTTTTTATTGCTGTGTACATTCCTTTTGTCCAACTCTTTACAACCCTTTCATGATTTGCTTGATTGTATGATTTATAACTGATATCAAGAAAATACAGACATATAAATAGTGGCATAGTTCACTAACACAAGCTCTTGCAGTGCATCTGAAGAACAGCCACTTCATCCAGTTGGTCAGTCTTGTAAATATATTAAAGGTATATTATTTTCATACAAGAGGAATGTTGTCTGGTGATTGTTCAGGTACAAGCAAGATTATTTTCCTATAAAGTCTCTTACTAAGGTCTGAGATAACCTTAGGTAGCTGGACAAATACATAAAGGAAAACACCCCAGTTTGCTGCAGCCATTTAAAAAGATTTTTCTGTCTTTCAGACTTCTTCTGTTTAAAAGAATAAACTTAAAATTTTGGAAGTGAAACTGTGATAGGAGGGTTGCTAGATATTGAAGTATTGGGTGCATAGGTAGCCATGCACTCTGACTTCCTATGGATGAGAGTTACTTTCTACCAACCCAGTTAAGGTGGCTATCAAGTGTCTCTACTTGTTACAGGGTAACTATATCAGCTTTCAGTAAGTATTGAATTGCCCATTTCTAAGCTTTCTAAAAGAAACAGTGTAGTATTATTATTTATTTTTGCATCTTATGCATTTTCTACAACTTAAACATTTCCTTAGAGGTTCTGTAAAAAATACAAAACAGCACATAAAAGGGAGGTGACGTATACATCAGTTTATTGCCTGTTAAGTGTATTCAAGTGACAGAATCAACAACAAGTGTGTTGGCAAATGAGAAAAATCTTTACTTGAAATCAGTTATGCTGATGCAGTGCAGCAGTTATGGATGCAGTGTTTCATGTTCTAAGAAATGTTTGTGACTTTTTAAATTATCTTCAAAATGCATACAAGTTATTTCTAGGTACATTTTAAAAATGCTGTCAATTGTCTCTTTTTAATTATTATTTGATGTTTATGTTGTAGCAGTGAGAAACAGAATTGTGTGCTCAATGCTCTACAAAGGCACACCAGGTCTAGTTTCATGCTGGAAGGGCTAAGATGAATACTACACCCCCAAGAAGCCCAGAAAAAATAATGTACAGGTTTTATTTATAATTTATTTTCATTCAGATTTCATTTTGCTGATTAAAGCGACGTGGAACAGCTGGAAAATTCAATGTCTTAAGCTTGCCTGGAGGGCAGGGCAAAAATTGACAAGTGCTCTTACTTACAAAAGTTTTAGTTGATTGCAGTTAAAATTTATGGAAGAACAAATGTGGCAGGTTTTTCTGAGTAAATTAAACAAACTCCATCACTGTCATTGCAAACATTTCTTTACTGCCTTGGTTTGACTTCCTGATTTTTCTTCCATTATTACTGCAAGTCAGCACCAATGGAGTTACAGATTTTTCCTCAGGAACATTTTGAAAGTATATTTTTTTAATGTGTCTGAAGTTGGTAAAAATGAATAGATTAAGTTATGGTTTATTTTCCTCTTAATTCTCTCTTAAAATTGATTTTGCTAAGAAAGGCAGAACAAGCAAGAAATACACATTTGTCTTCATCCTTTCCTACCTACTTTTTTTGTTGCAGTAAATGTTAAGACAGATAAATTTCTGTTAGTAATAGTGCTTTCAAATCCTTATTTTGCCCTCAAATTCATTCATCAAAACTTCTCACTGGTAGTAATAGTCTTAATTTTTTATAGAAGTGTCTCACAGAATACATAATACCTGTGTTTGTTAGAGCTCACATAAATCCTGTTCTGAGGGGTCATCTCTCCTGCAGCAGAGTGCCAGCTGAAGGAGCTGTCCTGGCTTTGCCAGTTCTAGCACTAACAAAATCAAACCTCCATCAAATTCACATTTTCCTTGTACCTCATCTGACTGGCAGATTAGCCCTTACACTGTATTATTTTTACCCACCATATTCCTTTTCATTTTTGTTATTTTCTGGCTGCTGTCATTTCTAGCTAATGGCCATGAAAGCCTGTGACATGAGCAGACCAAGTGCTTTCTCTGTTTCCTGGTTTGTTCCATCATGGAACTGTGCATTTTTCTTTCATTAAAAATTCAGAAGGAAGAACTTTGATTCCCTTGGGAAAGGAAGAACTCTAATAGAAGAGAAATAAAGCTGTTCTTTTCCCACTTCTCCCCTTTCTTAGCCACACCCCAAGATGAAATCGAATAGAGCAATTTTTATCTATGTTTTTAGCTATGGTTTCCTTAATTTCTGTTTTAAAATTTAGTGAAACTGACTTCCCAGTCATAAAATGGGTGAAATCATTACATGTCCAATCACACTAAAATTGATGTTAATAGATGGAAAGAAATTATTGCTGGATATTGGAGGAAGATCAGCTAATTTGTATCTATACACACAGAACACACACACACAAATGTCAAGTAATCACTCCCAATTTCCTTCACAAATTTCATTATAGCAAAGCAGCTGTTTGTCCTTGTTTCCAGAGGCATTTTGTAGTCTTGTGTGTTAGAGGTCACTTCTCTGGAAGGCAAAATGTACCTTAAATTCCTTTCAGGAATGTCCCACTTTGGTTAGCTCATATGGTAATGTGTTAGCAAGTTCTACAAATGTTTCCTGTGAGGAGAAAATCCTAAGGTAACTGTCAGCAGTGGGAATGAGTCACTT